TTTTAAATCGCTGTCTTGAGAAGCATCGGTCCGAAAACACCCTAGGGAAGCCATTTTGTGGAGCCGCCGATCAGCTGTAGTCATCGTTGTGCGAAGATCGCCATAGGGAAGCCATTTTAAATCGCTTTCTTGAGAAGCATTGGTCCCAAAAACACCCTAGGGAGCCATTTTGCGGAGCCGCCAATCAGCTGTTAGAATTGTTCTCAGACCGAAATGTTGTCCAGCAAGCATTGGTCCCAAAAACACCCTAGGGAGCCATTTTGCGAAGCCGCCAGTCAGCTGTTAGAATTGTCCTCGGACCAAAATGTCATCCAGCGAAATTCCCCCATAGGAAACACTGTTTTGCGAAGCGCAATGACGATCACAAAACCTCATTGTCATGCAGATTTGTCATTATGCAGGGTAATCCTCTTGCGAAGTACCACTGTATTTCATTTGTTATTCATTACATTTGTACCCCACCCATCTAGTGCCTAAGCACTACTTTAGGTGGCTAACAGAAGTTAAAAACAGAACTGCCCACCCTGGCCCACAGGGAAAATGTTTGGGAATGCTGATGCTGGTAAAACACACTGTTTGGGCATTAAAATACTTCTGAAGTTGTAACTCCACGATCTCTGCCAGTGCTTGGGCATCTTGCCACAAACTCTGATGGAACAAATCCAGGGAAGAGAATGAATGGGATGATCCGCTGCAGTGGATCCACTCCTTTCTGGAGGAAGCTTCAGTGCTCCCTGGAAATCCAGTTATTCTGTTGCTGAGGGCCAAATTAAGATGAGGTGCCATCTCAGCAATTGGCACATAGGTGAAGGCAAACAGCAGCTGCACTGTGTGCGTCCAATTGATGTTGGGACCTTAGTCAGGGGAAAGGACTTCTGTATGCACCTCTGTGCAATCTCTGGCCCCGGAGCTGTTGTTTGGATCATAGGGAAACATTGCGTTGATGCTCATGGGAGTTTTTCTTCCAAGGCAAATATCATATTCAGGGAGCTGACCTGGATTGATCAAGAATCCCATTGAGTGTTGCCTAGTTTTGCCCTTCTTCCAGGAATCAACTGCTGACATGCAGGTTGATGTTTTATTTTCTGAGAATTATTTTCCAAAAACAGCGACAGCAAAACCCACCGTGCACACACTTGCCTAAACCACAGATCAGTTTTGAAAATAATTTTGTAGACTTGACCATGTGCAGTTTGTACAGCAACATGAAAGTGAAAACTGGAGGGAAGTATTTTACAGTTTATTTGCAGTAAACAGCATTTTGTGTCACCCGCGTCCACTTTTGTGAGCAGCCCCTTTAAGATGAGAAACAGTAGAAATCAATTATACCTTTTATTTCAGAATCTAATTTTGTGGCTGTGAAAAACCACAGGGCAGAACAGCATCAGAGTTAATAAGCAAACCCAGTGATCGTTAGCATTGTGCAACGTTCCTTCTCAGATGCTGGTTGCACAGCGCTGCATTAGTGCCATGCACCCACAGTTAGTATTGCCATACATTTGGTTCTGGTCCTGGCTGGTTGAACTTTGTGCCCACGGAGCATGGTTTCTGCTCAGAGTTGGTGGAAAATTAGAGGGAACGTTGGTGGTGTGTCATTTCTGGGTGGAAGATGAGCTCAATCTGGGGCATGAAGGGCCACACAGAAGGCTTAGAGATAGGATGGGAACACTAGATGACAACAAGACGTCTGAACCCTAGGAATCACCAGGTTTGTAATGTTTGTTCATTATTTCACAGTTGTCATGATATTACATTGTTTTTCCCCTTTAATTGTAGGTCTTTTTCCTGATGTTGGGGGAGGCTATTTCTTGCCAAGACTTTCAGGGAAGCTGGGATATTTTCTTGCCCTGACGGGTTTTCGGTTGAAAGGTAGAGATGTACACAAAGCAGGAGTTGCAACTCACTTTATAGAAGCAGAGAAGGTAAGCCTGTCTAGCAGTTGATGGTCTGTGCTGTATATCTGGTAGATTACAGGAGCCTGGTTCTAGGATGTTGGGGTCTTCTCAGGCATTCACTACTGCTTGGTTTTTGATACGGAAAACGACTCTCCATATTAATCCTCTGGTACTGAAAGTAAATTTCCAAGCCACCATTCAATACAAAATTAAGTAAGATGAAGACCAGGCTAAAAAAAAAAAAATACAGCTGATTAGATATCACTAGACTCTGATTCCCAACAGCCTCAGCCAACAAGGAGGCATGGTGGGAGTTGTAGTTCAGCAGCATCTAAAACAGCCTTTAGTTCTCTTCCCCTGTCTAAGACTCTTGATTTCAGTGGCTGTGATCCTGCTTGAGTTTTATCAACTTTGGTGGCAGGGATCCTATTCATACTTCTCTGAATATAATTCTGCTTATAGGACATTTACACCAAGAGAAGGTGAGGGGATGGCGTTCAGTCGCTTCCTTTCACTCCTGCGGTCCTTCATGTCTCTAAAAACCTGTTTTGGTGTCTCTTCTGGAGCAGTGCAGCGCTGGGGGACTGTTGGGGTGGAGTTGAGTGAGGAAAAGGGTTTCTCCTTTTTTTTACAACAGTGGTGGTCCTCCACTTTTTATCAGACTAAGCTCCAATAATTGGATGGCCTTTTCCATTTGTGGAGGTTTACATAGGATCCAAGCCGGTAAAAGTCAGAATGTCTTTATTTCATATCAGACCGGGGCCTTAGGATCGCATGGCCTTGTTAAAACTTCTCTCTCTGTGTATGTCTCTTTCTCAGGTGCAAAGTCTTTTGTTCTTATTTCTGTCAGGTTGGGAGAAGGTGATAAATAACCTGTTATGTCATACAGCTGTTCTTCTCCCTTTATAAAACACAGTGTACAAAAATAAGGACAACACAGACATTTTGGGCAATTCTGTCCTTACATTACATTCATGGTACAAGCTTTCAGCTCCCATGTTGAATCCCAAGTTGAAAAGCGTGCAATGCTTATATACAGAGCCAAGAATGGGAGGCCAAAATTTCTGGGGTTCTCTTGTAACACTGCCATGATCCTTTGACTCAGCTTTTGGCCATGCCAAGAAGGGCCTGTTCAATTTTGCTCACAGAAGTGGAACACTCTGAAGGGAAGGAAGGGAAGCAGATTGTAACCTTTGATAGTTTATGATATTGCTCCCTTCGCCCAGTAAATTTTTCGAGAGCTGAATGTTGGCGTTCCGTGTTAAGAGTTGAAATTCTAGCAACTTGAGTAATGTATTCAACAGTTGTTTTTACAGCACTTTGGATGCTTTTTATTTGTAGATGGCTGCTGTAGAAAAAGATTTGTTGGAATTGAAATCGCCCTCAAGGGAAAATGTTGCAGGCATCTTGGACTCATATCATAAGAAGGTATGTAGGCAGCTAGCTATAATAGCTGGTGCTGGAATGGAGCGCTCTTATAAATCACACACTGCTAATTTACATTTAAGATACAGTACTTTCCAATTTTTTTAAAAAAATCTACAGATAATACTTATTTCTAATAGAATATTGATTATTAAAAGTGGATTGAAGGAGATGTAATCCAGAGTTTAGATAGGTTAGAAAATTCTAAACCAACAAATGCAAATATTTATAACATTAGAAATACATGCATGTGGGTTTTTTCTTTTCAACCATTCTCTCCATATCTCCTTTGTATGTGTGTGATTTCTTTTTAGATTGCAAATCTGAGAACATGGAGTGTTCTTTCTTATCCTTTTTTTATTGATAAATAAACAGCTTTCTTGCAGATTGCAGTGCTATAAATATAAATACTTATTTTAAAAATGTCAAAATATTTTGATATTTTAAGGAGGCTCATGAACTGTAGAAGATTTGATGGGTAATAGAATGCTTTATTTGTACAACATTGCAAGCTTTGGTTTATCCTGAAAAGTACCAGTGGTTTTTTATCAGCATTCTTGGTACCTAAATTAAAACTGTGAGATGCTCTTCTGCTTAATTAGTTAAATGCCCTTTCCAGTATAATTTTAAACTAACGAATATTGGGACAAATATTATTAGTATTATTCCTACATGGTGCACATAACTGAATGTTTTGCTTTTCTTACTATCCATTAAAAATGTATAAAGCTGCAGCCCTAACAACACTCACATGGGAATAAATCTGTTGACATCAATACAACTGTTTTAGTTTCACAGGATATTTCCTTCATATGAAATGACATAGTGACTAAATCTCAATTATGTGTTGCTTTGAATCCTTGTATGCCAGCAGAAATTAGACTCATAAAATGTGCATCCTTCTTACATCTTATCCAAAAGGATAATATCATTTCCTTACCAAGCTCCTCTGATAAGCAGTCAACAAAATATTAATGGAATTAATTTACAGCTACAGCAGTAAATTTTCAGGAAAAGGCAGATAAGGAGTGAGGTGATGTACATGCAAGCTGAGAGTTAATGGAATGGAAGCTGTGCAGGAGAAGCTGCCAGAATACAAATGATGGCCATTTGTTTCTGGTTTCCAGCTGATGCTGTTGCAACCAAAACACATGCCAGTAGCTTAACCTTGACCCCTGCAGCGCCAGGATGTTCAAGGCATTTGTCACGAGAGAATTCAAAAGGTTCACACAAGGCACGGCCTCTCAGCGGGCAGGAAATAAGTCAATACTCGACACCTAATTGACATTCCTTCCAATCGAAATGTGTATAAATATAGTTCCCAGAGCACTCTGCATTATTGCAGATAGTCAGGAAGATTCATTCATTGGCTAGCTAGATGCAAGGAGGGTCTAGCTGCTGAACCTTTAATAGACAGAAGGAATTTCAACAGGTGCAGCTTTTATCACAAACAGGTGTGGCCTTCTGTTAACATCCCTGATATGACAAGCTACCGCTGCCAAAGTTGCTTAGCCCACAGATCCTTAAAGGGACAGGAGCCCCACGGTTACTACTTCTTGTTCTTCTGTTATTTAGAGCTCCCAAGGGTCTCCCATCTGAGGAAAGGGATGTGAACATCAGTCCTTGAAATCCCCAGGCATTCTGATCCCGCCCCAGTTATGGGCTGGGTTGCGAATATATCTTTTTGGATGAAAATTTATGTGTAGATTGGTACACATTTTCCTTGAAGTATGCTTTTTAATGTATTCTTACCCATTGTCCCCACTGAATTAAGTTTTTTTCCCCTCCAAGAGTATTTGCTGAACATATGCATGAGTCTGTGTGCCTTTTTTTCTTGGCTGCACTACGTCACAGCCTTCCAAAATGTACGGATTTCTGAGGCAATGTATGCTTCATTCCATTGCATCCCATTCAGACAGTGCCGTGTGGATGTTTCTGTGAGGAGATGTGAAACCTACAAATATTTTTCCACTCCTAGCCAAAGGATTAATTGAGAGACATGCCTGTCTAATTTGCAACCTCAGCTCACCAACCACACCCATTTACTGGGGCCACCTGGCTGCCCTGTTTGTTTGTCCTGCATTTCATTTGTATAACAGTAAATGGGCTTTTTACCTTCCTCAAATATGTGCAAAGAAACACAAAGAGCTATATATTTCATTGTAATTAAATCAAAAAGGTATTAGAAGTGTGTGGGTGAAATCCAATTGTGTCAGCTGCTGGTGGAAGATACTTGCCGTCTCCTCAACACAGCCCCTAGTGTCTCCCCCACCCCATATCAAGAATTAGTTTACCCTCTGGAACAGATTTGAAGGGGCATATAGGAAACGGAAGGAAGGAAGGAAGGAAGGAAGGAAGGAGGGAGGGAGGGAGGGAGGAAAGGTGGGAGGGATTTGTGTAAGTGGAAGTCAGAGTGCGATGCATGCAGCCCTGCATTTCAAAGAATGCCCTGAATTGTTTTAGAAAACTAGTTTAGAACATGGGGGGGGGGCTCTTGAAGCCCCTGCAAGCTTGATGCTATTGCATGGGGAAAGCCTAAGCAGTTCAAAGGTGATCAAAGATGTGGAGGGGAGATGGCTATGAGGCCCATGTTGATGGAAGATTAGAGAAAGAATTACAAGTGTTGAAATTAATCATTCCATAGTCTGTTGCCTTTTCTCTTTTTGTTTTTGACTGTTGGGATAGTGACTGGGAGATTAATGATGTATTGTCCCCCCCCCTTTTTTTTTCCTAGTGCAAACTTGATCAAGAAAAAGAGTTCATTCTTGGTGAACACATGGATAAAATTAACAGGTACTTGTTCATAAGTGGTCATGCTTGACATCAGAGACTGGTTGTGGGGAAGTCCTGTATAAAATTATCTGTCATGTTTTTAAGATGCTTATGAACATATTTACCTGCCAGACCTGCTTTTGGTGACTCGGTGATGTCTGAACAATTGTGGCTGCCCAAGGGCCAAATTGCACATGACAGGCAACCAACGCATGGCCATCAACACAGGTTTTGTCACCACCTGGGGAATGGGCCTGTTCTTCAGACAGGGTGCTTCCCCTCTGCAATCTGTTCTTTGAGACCTTTTCTCCCCACAGTTGGACTCCCAATACTGGAGGGGAGCTTGGAAAGAGGCCCTGAGGTTAGAGACAGCGCAGCAAGGGAGAGAACATCTTCCCTGCCCACACACATTAAGTGGTATATCTGCCCACCCCATTTTATGTAGGGTTACATCAAGCCTTCTTTGGGCATCAAAATGTGAAAGGTGGGGATGGGTGGGAATCCCAACCTGTGGGGTTTCTGAAGGGAAAAGAAGGTTGAGGATGGTTAGGTCAGACTTCATTAATGTCCACCTGGAAAATATGGGGTGGCCTTACGTTGGCCATAAGAAGTCAAATGACATCTCACTGTCTTCAGAATGATCCTCTGTAAAGGGCATGGGCCTGCTGCAATCATGTCTAGGTGGTAAATTGTATCACATTTTCTCTACTGTACTCGTTAATAGGAGAAACTTTGTGAAGACATAATTTTTAGATTTTTTTAAAAAAAATCATAGTGATTTGTTAAATAGGTCTCTCCTGAAGACCCAACAATCCTTTCAATAATTAATAGGTAGAAAAGAAATGATATGGCATTTAAGTTACTTTTATTTGCCTAAATGATTACTGATGTGTAAAAATGTTTATGCCTGTGAGGGAAAAAAACATGATTACTACTTTTACCATGTCACTAATTTTTGATACAGGTATTAAGGATTATAGGCTAATCCCTGTAAATAATCGTTCAAATTTGAAAATTACTGATAGTCAAAGCTTTCATTTTTTGCCTGGTGTAGTTAATTTAAGGGCAATATGTACACATATTACCTGAGGGTATGCATTTAATATCCATGTCTGGCAGCATTAAAATTATTCCCAATGCAATATTTTCTTTTTTCTTCAGTGTCATTTTTCCCTGATAAATATGTCTCCTCTTGAGTGATGTGTGGTATCTTTTCTGTTTCCAGTCTCTTTTCAGCAAACAGCATGGAAGAAATCATTCAAAAATTGAGCAAGGATGGCTCTCCTTTTGCACTTAAGCAACTAGAGGTGACGTTGTATTATGTTTTGAATACTGTTCTAGGGGTGCATATCTCAAACCATCCTACGTGTTATTTCCAGCTCACCATGCTACCTAAAAGGTGACTGAGTGATAATTTTTTGTGTCTGTGGCTGTTTTCCCCATTATAAGTTGCTAATGGTAACCTGCTTGATGTACAGTGATCCCTCAGGCCCTTCACGGGTAATGTGGTGTCAAAAGGACTTTGGGGAAGTGGCCAACTGGGATATTTTTGCTTTGGTCATTTACAAATATTTATAGGTCTGTTGTCCCTTCTTGCTGAGAATCCTGAGAATCACCTGGATACTTCTTTAGAGTTGCTAAGGTTGCAGTGGTTACGTTTTCAATCAGCTTTGACAGAAAGACCCTGTAAATAAAATCAAACTTAAGACATGCTGTTTAATTGAAAATAACTGGTTAAGACAAGCGTGTCGAGCCCCTGTTCAGATTTCCGCTTCCATAATCCTTTATCCATTGGCCATGCTGGCCAGAGATTGTTGCTGTATGTCATCAAGTCACTGCTGATGTATGGTGACTACAATATGAATTAAGGACCACCGGAAAATCTTATCATTAGCAGTCCCACTCAAGCCTTACAAACTAAAGGTTGTGGCTCCCCTTACTGAGTCAAAACATTTTATATGAGGTCTTTTACTACTCTTTTACTAATCTTTTACTACTGCTTTTCCTTCTCTTATTTTCCTTTTTTATTCTCTTCTATTTCCCTGCAGTGATTATTATAATAGTTCTTTTTGTCCATGTGTGCACACAGTTCTGTGAGTTAATCTCCTGCTTTGCTTCTAAATCCTAGGCCAAATTCTCCAACAATGATTGGTTATTCATTGTTTCCTGCTTTTGTATTCATGTCACCCATGATTGCCAGCATGTCCTGTTTTGTTGTGTCATCAATCTCTTCCTGGACACTTGCCTAAAAGCTTTCAGTTTGTTCTTCTTTAGCATTTGCAGTTGGATATAGACTTGAATTATTGTTACTGTCATAAGGATTTGCATTCAGTCAGACTTTACATTGCATATGCCATATCATATCTCATTCTTAGTCAAGGAGTTTCATTTGAGTTTGTCATTTCCAGAAGGAAATGTTTTGTAATTGAAAATGTCCTATTCCAGTCTACTTTTAGTTTGTTTACACCAAGTATTACTATGTTGAAATATTCTATTTCATGTTTTATTATTTCAAACTTACCTTTTTCTTACTGATTATATTCCATGTTCCAATGTCATGCAGCATCAGACTTTCCTTTGCCTCTGTGTATGTCAGCAGCTAGACATCCTTTCAGCTTTAATCTAGTTGCATGATTAGCAATAGCATTGTTTGTACTTATCCTTTTCTTTTTTTCCAGCAATACTTTCTGACTTGGGCATCTCTTCTTGAGCACTATCTCTTGTTTCATTGTAGGATTGTCTCATTGTAGGATTTTCAGTATATAAATATTTAAAAGAGGTCTACCATTATTGTCTCCTGCTCAGTACTGACAAGACTTGGCTTCAGAGCCACTGCTGTTCTCTGTGGAAAGATCCTTTGCCAGTGTCTCCTTTCTCTTGCCATTCAAGAACTTCTCTGATATCACCACAACTGGATCTATGATTCTTTTCATTCCTGAAGAAGTTTGATGTGTCTTAGTCTGGCATGTCAGCTGTGACCATTCCACCTTGTGTGACTGATAGGAGTCTCTAGACTCATAATGGAGTCTAGCCTCTTGGCTTCTTTGACACACTCAAATCCCATGTTAAGGTGTGGATCCAGGGCAAGGGGGCTGAGTCTTATGGCAACTGAGGTCCAAAACTTCTAAAAGACCAAAGACGGTCCTCTGTCCCTCATTTTGGAAATGTTGAATTATTTGTATTTTCAGAATCAGACATACTTGAAGTATTTACTTAATCCTACCTTGGTGGTTTTCCACCAGAGCCTGAGCACAAATATGAGTTAGATCTGTTTAGAGTTAGCGCAAGGGGGCTGAGTCTTATGGCAACTGAGGTCCAAAACTTCTAAAAGACCAAAGACGGTCCTCTGTCCCTCATTTTGGAAATGTTGAATTATTTGTATTTTCAGAATCAGACATACTTGAAGTATTTACTTAATCCTACCTTGGTGGTTTTCCACCAGAGCCTGAGCACAAATATGAGTTAGATCTGTTTAGAGTTAGCTGGCCCTTCATAATTGGGGGGGGGGGAGGCATATAATTTCTTAAAGATGATCATTTGTATAAATGTTGTTTTATTGACAAATACAGTATATTCAAAATATCAATCTTAAAATTTGTTATAACGGAAGATGTTTGTCTGGTTCAGGTGGTAATATTTGGGAACATCTAGAGTGTGAAGTCTTAAGAGGTGTGGAATTGCTGTTTATCCTGAATCACACAGCTTGACTGCAGCAGGTGTGAAAGCACTGCTGGATTGAGACAATGTGTTAGAAACCAAAGGGACTGATATTTTCCAACCATGTCTCACCTTAGCTATTATAAAGACAGACTTTGTTCAGGGCCTTGGCTGACTGAAGAGGAGGAGCTTAGTTAGACATAGTTTTGATGAGTGACAAGGCTGAAGATTGAACAGCTAAATACAGTACTTCTTTGTCCCCATACCTGCTCCCAACAGTAATGTTCTCTCCGTGTACCACAGCTTGTATTCAAGCATCAATTAGGCAGTTTTTAATTTGTCTCAGCTCCCCGCTTATTTTCATTCTTCTGTCCTGTGGCTTCAGTAGTTTCACATTGCAAATGCACATTAAAAAAACAAGGAAGCTAGACTTTCCTAAGGGTGATTTGATATCTTATTGTTGCTCTCTTTTGAAAATGTATTGCCTGCCTTTTGATTTAATGGTGACAAAGGGGATGTGCAGCTGATTGCAGTAGAGGAAGACAAAACAGATTTCCAGCCCACATAAGTCCAGCAGGCAGTGGAGGGGGACAAGTGTTGTCTTCTTCACTTCTGCTGCCGTCCTGAGGCACTTGAGAGCCGTGCGTGCTTTCTGGCCGGGAGGAAGAGGAACATTCCCTGCAGCCGTTCTGTCTCTTGTTCGGGGATGGAACCAGGAGGGCTCCTCTGAATTTGGCAAAGTTGTTGTTGTTTGGGGGCCGTATCTCTCAGAATTCCAGCATGGCTGTGTGATTAAAATAAGTCTCAAACGAATGAACTAAAAAGATGCATTTGAAATTAAAAAGATTAAAATAGTGAACAGTTCAAATAATGTGAAATGACCGAGAAAAACCTACAGCCTTGTACATATATTGGCTGAAATCCTGTTGCTTAGCGTAGTAAGTCACAACTGGAGTAGGCCCATTGAGTCAGTGGGGATCAACTCCTCCATAAGCTCTGTTGATTCAAATGGGTCTACTTGTTGCAACTTGCTGTGCTAATCGACAGGATTTTAATCATTGTAGCAGCACTTTACAACTTAGTCAGGTCATGATTCTGGGATCCCCAGGTTTTAAAGAAGAGCCCATGCTAAACTGGCTTGCTGCCATGCTCAAGCCAATTTAGTCTCCCCTGGTTAGATCAGGGGCAGGAATTGTGTGCTTGACACATCTGTAGAAATTAGCATCCACGTGGGATGCTATTTGTTGATATTTGAATGTGCATCTTAGTGCTGGAACAGGTCATGTGTAACTCCTTTTTTAAAACAGTTTTATTGGACTGTGTTTTATTGGTGACTAATTTTATTGGCGACTAGTTTAAAAAACCAAATAAGACGTTGACCTTCTGTGGAATTATTATAAAATAAGAGTTCTCATTTAATGCTGAACACTTATGGCTCAGGCAAAGCTCTGGGCATGTATATGTGTAAGGGATTCTGTAAATATTTGGAATTTAAAAACTTTAATAAACTCCTCTGAACTCACTGGACATTCTTATCAGTAGATGTATTTAGCACTGCCCCATTCCAGAGCCATCTTAGACGGAGTGTCAACTATTGTTTGCTCCATAGTGGCTGTTTCTAAACATACTGTGTGGCACATGCTCCGTGGTGGGCCTCTCTGGCATCCAGAATTGGCTTTACGATCCAGTATGCAACCAGTTTGACAAAATTCACCCTGTTGCATAGTCAGATGCTGTTTTTCAGGTGCTATGCAGGGTATAAGTGGCTACCCTGGGGCAGTGAAATGAAGTAGAATACATGTTTCCAGTACCTGGATGTTTTGATTTATAAAGCTCAGTAGTAGCCTGTACAGTGGGGTCTTGACTTGAGAACTTAATCCGTATTGGAAGGCGGTTCTCAAGTCAAAAAGTCTGTAAGTCAAGTCTCCATTGACCTACAGTGCATTGAAAACCGATTAATCCCATAACAGGCCGTTTTTGTTCCATTTTGGTTTTTTTCTGGTCTGTAAGTCAAATCTCAGTCTGCAAGTCAAACCTAAATTTTGCGGCCAGAGAAGTCTGTAACTCAAAAAGTCTGTAAGTCAAGCCGTCTGTAAGTCAAGGATCCACTGTAATACATTCTGTTCACTATCCATTCAGGTTTGATATTGCTTGTCTGGCAGTAAGAACAAATGCTACAGTAACTATCTTAAGAGTTGGGGAAAAAATTAAAGTTGGGTTTTTGACTCAAGTGCAGAGAAGTATTTGTGGATACAGACAAGCATCACGTCATTACCAAACAGGATTTTTCTTTTTGGAGGCTTTCGTATTGTCCACCACCATTTGCTTAACTGAAGCATTTACTTCCCTGTGAATGAATGATAGCGGGTGCTTCAGCCTAGCCCTCTGGGATTTATCCAAGCTTAGTATGTGGAGTTTTCGAGTATTCATCTTTCAATGAATAAACACTGGAACCAGGAGGAATGGTTGATTAGTAAAGCTGCTGTTTCTAAGAGGATCCCTTAATCTGGAGGAATTTCAGTCCCAGCCCTCCCTTGAAAGCACAGCTGTTCATCTGTCACTTAATCCCAGTGATTCTTTTCTCAGGGAGGCGGGAGGTGGTGAATGCAGCTTCTCCCGGCAAGCCCTGTGTATTGAGCTTGGATGCTTCTGTCCGGAGAATTATTAGCACACAGAATTTTCTGAAAAGGGTTAAGCTCGGTGTATGCTGAGCTTCTGAATGCCAGTTTCTTCCTCTTGCCTGGATACAACCCCATCCTGCAAAAAGGGGGACATTTTATTTATAAGAAATATAGCAGGGGGCAAGCTGATCTCACTGGAGAGAGACCTTCATGTAAGGATCCTGATTTCTTACTAGTGGACCAGTTCCTCCATTTTCTGTTCAATTTCCTAGCTCTGCCTGCCACCTCCTCTAGCACAGAGGTCGTCAACCCCCGGTCTGCGGCCCATTGCCGGTCCGTGGCTTGAGCCTGACCAGGCCGCGAAGGCAGACCTCCCGCCCCCCTCCCCACAGCTACTTTGCACGTGTGTGTGTCAGTGGCGTGTTTCCTCATGCAAGTGTGCTCCCCTTCATGCAAGCCCCTGTGTGCGCAAAGCAGCTATGAGGAGGGGAGTGCGTGTGGGGGAAGGGGGGAGGTCTGCCTTCGTGGCCTGGTGGCGGCAACAGGGCTGGGGAAGAGCCGAAAAGCAGGGCAAGGGCCGCGTGTTCTGGCGGCTCTCCTCCCGGCAACAGCAGCGGCAACGGGGGTGGCTGGAGAACAGCCGGGAGAGAGAGCATGGCCCAGGTATTCTGGCGGCTCCCCTCCCGGCAGTGGCAGCGGCAAGGGGGGTAGGGGGTGGGCAAGAGCCGGATAAAATTAAAATTAAGACTCCCAGGCTTCCGCCGCCGCTGCCACAGGCGGGCAGGCGCTCCTGCACATGCGCTAAGTGGTGAGGGAATGCGTGCGTGCCATAGGCGTGCACGCATCCCAACCACTGTGCGCGTGCATTGGAGAGGGCAAGCACGAAGGGCCGCTCCACCTCCGTCAGAGACTCCGTCGGTCCGGGCTAGTAAAAAGATTGGGGAACTCTGCTCTAGCATATTGTATTTGTTAATAGAATGCTGCAGTGACTATCTCCTTGAGGATGCAACTACCGTGTTTTCCTGAAAATAAGGCAGTGTCTTATATTAATTTTTACTCTGAAAAACGCATTAGGGCTTATTTTCAGGGGATGTTTTATTTTACAGCCATGTCATCTTCTTCTGGTTGCTACACAATGGTGGAGGGCAGGGTTTTACTTAACTGGGGCTTATTTTCAGGTTAGGTCTTATTTTTTGGGAAAACAGGGTACCATTGATATTCTTCTGTCTCCTTTCTGCATTTTTCTTCTGTTTGGCTCCTGTTAGAAGCCCTGCCCCTTCTGTCTTCTGGAGATTTCTTATAGTGGTTGCCAATAGAGGAAGTTTTCAAATTTTTCAATGCCTCATGGGACACTTTCCCTTGGGGTATAGTATGGTTATAAAACCTACTGTGTTTGAAATCAGAATAGACTTTCTGGCTTAGTTTGTAGGACCAGAGATGAGGGAGCTCTCCTGGTCATGTTTAGATGACTCAGAAATGAGGCAGTCATTCCCCTTGCAGTTTTGAAAGCAATCCTGATGTGCTGCCTTTCACATTACCCCAGGTTTCAGGGGACCACCACTTTTTTACAGCTTGCATAGGGCCTGTTTTGGAAGTGCATCTGTGGAAAGCCCGGCTTGGGAAGGCAAAAGATAGTTCCTGTTGTCTCCAGTGGAATAATGTCAGTAGAGGCTTCAGGAGGCAGAATTGCAGAGACTTTAGCCTTGCAAAGAACTTGGAGCATGTGAAAAAACCACCAATCCACTATTGAAGAACTCTTTTTGCTCCAGGGATCTTCAGTGGTGGAATGCCATCTGTTTTCTGCTGTAGGCAGGTGAAGTGGGGAGTAAATATGGTGCTCTGGAGATCATAGGGGGAAATAAATATGAAAGTCTTCTCTACCGTGGTGAATTTGGCAGCTGAGCTCTCCTTCCAAGGCAAGCATAACCAAACCTTCACATTTGATGATAAAGTGGCTTTCTCTAAAAGCCTTCAGGCTTCCGTATGCAATGCATTCTTGGGCAGTGCTCCCAGGTTATAGCCATGTCCTTCTGTCTCATGTCATGCATAGGCCTTGTTCTTCTTCTGAACTCTAGTGCATTTGCTCTGGCCAGTTTAAAGACAGTTGCAGCTTACTCAAGTTACCCCTTGCCACAGCAAACAGGAGATAAGATGCAGAATGTATCCAGACATGTGTCCTTTGGTCAGTAGCTCTGAGAGGAGATAGCTCAGTGGTTTAGGTATCTGCTTGTGGAGCCAGAGGTTGGGAGTTCGATTCCCCACTATGGGTCCTTGACAGGGGCTGGATTCAAAGATCCATAGGGTCACTTCCAGCTCTGCAGATTTATTCTAAGATTATTATCATAAAATTGATGCGGAATATATATGACTTTTCAAAATTCTCTGTTGAAAAGACAGTATCACAGGAAATTTCCTTTTTCCCAGAGAACGATAAAGGGTCTGGATTATTAAAGAGGGCTTGAAAGTAGATGCTATTAACAAGGGTTGTTTTAATTTTATTTTCAGAGCAGCCTTTTTTTCTTTTCTTGCCTTTGCTATTAAACCAGCTGGTGTTGATTCATTTATACAAAACCAGAAGCATAAAACTCTCTTGCTTCTGCTTCCAGGATGTGCCCTGCAGCTGGGAGATAGCAGATGTAAGGGTCCAGGCAAAATGGGTCACTGCTTTTATCAGCTGGCATCTGGAGAGAGGGAGAGGGAGGGAGAGCTGGAGATCTGAGTGATAAAAAGCCAGGGAGGAAAAAGGTTAATGATTATGGTGAAAAATCTGCCATTTGCCCCTGTGGGTTAGGAGTTAACTGTTACCGTTGAAAACAACAGCTATAGGTTCATTTTGCCATCTGTCAATTCTTAATGTGCTGGTAAAGTATCTCTCTCGGTGGTACATATTCTAATAGAACAAAGTATTTCAAACCTCTGTTTGCTTCTTTCAGTTTAGAAAAAAAAACATATATATTTTCTGGAGATCGGCAGAGAAACATTCCAGAAAGCCCCCTTTCTTCAGGCCAGGAAGCAAAAAAAATGTAGGTTACCTTATTTGAGAGAGGAAACGCTCTGTTTCTACACAGGGAGCTAGGAAACTGGTGTAGGTCACTCCTCTGGCCATACCAACTTACTTTCTCTTAATGCACTTAATTGCTCTTTGTCTCTTTCTGTTTTTCTGTGCTTTCCTTATTCCTTTCCCTTTTTAGTGTAACAAAGGGAATAAGGGAGAAAGTGCACCCAGGAGCTCCAGTGAACTGAAGCAAAGGCTGGAAGGATCGGTTTTGTCACTGAGGCACAACTCGGGCTGCTCTTCTTTGTCTGGGGAACATAAAACAGAGCTCTGCCCCTTGTTGCTTGGTTTCTGTGGCTGCTTTGCAGCCAGGAGGAGACCACCTCTTGCCTGCCAGATATTTTGTGGTACAAGGCCTGGAAGCCCCGCTGGCACAGGGATGAATCAGAAGTTGCAGGCCAAAACTTGAAGGAGACCGTCTTGCTTTCGTTCACTTCAGCTACTTCTCTTCGCATCGAGCCGAGGAGTTCCTGAGAGAGTTACTGCCTGTTCTGAACACCAGACATAACAAGAACAATCGCAGCCTGTTGTGGTTATTTCCTGAATAGAAAAGATTTGATGAGTTAAAAATAGATTGACGTCTGGTCAGTGGGCAAAGCTGCTGGTAGTCACAGCCCTCTTCAGAGGTCTTGGGGCTGCTGGGTCTACAGACAACCTCCTCAGATTTAGCCATTTCTTATATACATATGTTACACATCTAGCATGTTTTTCCGTTCATATCATGGGAGAAAGGAATCATCTTTCCTCTGGAGAATCTCGTTACTGAGTACAGGCAGAGCAACATTTGGCCCCAGTCCACCCTGGTTCCATTTCCTTGAGAGATCCTCTTCTGTTCAGATTTCTCCTGTCCAAGTTCTGTGCTCTCAGCCTTTGTTGCTCCATGCTGAGGAGAGATAACTAGTCACTACAGAAGGCCTGCTTTCTGCTTTTCCACTCCTAAAGAGAGGGAATTTCCCTCTTATAGAAGGCTCCTCCACTCCTAAGACAGGAAGTCCATGGGTTGGGGGATCTTGTTATCTCCTCCTATGCAAAATTTAGCTTTTAAAATCATGGCATTTTCCTAATGCAAAATGTAACTTTGCTTTAATTATTTTCATTACTGACATGCCATGGAGGTGAAGTGCTTCTTCGCTCATTAGGCCTTGCTAGTTAAAACTAGTCAGAAACACTAGCCACATTTCTGAAGGTCTGTAATCTTATTTCAAGGTGCATTCTAGTTGTTTGCTTCAAATGGCAAGGTGTAAAATGAACACAGAACCATCTCAAAGAATGGGAACTGTCTGGTGCTAGTCCTGTGTATGTAATCCAGCAGGATCCCTGTGCACCTTTCAGGAAGCGACCTGGGTTCTGTCCCTGAGGGCACCAGAGGAGCTAAAGTATTGTTGAAAAGAAAAATAATGAATCAAAAAATTTTAGGTTGGTGTGGGAAAACTTTTAGAATCTTCTGAAATATTCAGAAGGCAATACTGCTTTTCAAAAATGCTGTGTTTTTAGCTATTCACACATCAGAGTCAAATGAGGACAGTTAAAGTATGATGGCTGTCACTTTAATGGGTGAAAACGTTCATTGGATTTATTCCAGTCAGGAATTGTGCATCTTGCCAAGATTTGTGGTTTTCTTATTTCTTGCATAGAACTAATTCAAAATGCAGCCACATTTATTTTCTGAAATGTACAACACCAGATTCTCCCCCATCTTTGAAAACAAAATTCACACAGGGTTTCCCTCCCCATACAGACAATTACCAAAATGTCTCCAACATCGTTAAAGATTACCTTCAGGCAGCTTACGGAAGGTGCTTCCTTGAGCCTCCAGGATGTGCTTATCATGGAGTACAGATTGAGTCAAGCATGTATGGTAAGAAGTATTGCATTCAGAATTTTGAGCCTTGTGCTTGTATGTGTGAGACAGATTATGATGAAATATGTATATCCCTCTTTTAATAATAACAACCTTAGAACTGCAGATCTGGAAGGGACCCTGTGAATCATCAAGTCCAGCCCCTGTCAAGGAGGCACAGTGGGGAATTGAACTCCCAACCGCTGACTTTGCAGCCAGAGACCTAAACCACTGAGCTATCCAGCAGTTTTTTCCTCCATTGAGCTCAAAGTGGCATATGTGACCCTCCACCTCCTCTCCAGCTCGCCCTCTCAAAAATCCGGTTAGACAGGACAGACTGAAAGAGAATTAAGTGCTCAGTATTACTCAAGAGTTTCATGGCTCTGTGAGAACATAAACCTGGCTCTCCCAAATCCCAGTTCACCACTAAACATACTGGCTATTATGTGAATAGTAAGGGGACACAGGCTCAAACCCAAGGTCTTCTGATCCGGAAAGATGTTTGCAGTACTTTATGTCCTTGTTGATGTCTGCAGCTATGTACTGCAGCTGTGTACAGAACCAGGCAGTGTATGTTTCGAACTCATGTGGGCAACTGGCA